TTTCAATTAGCATAAAAATATCGCTCATTCATTCGCTACGCTTTGTGTGTGCACTTACACGCACAGTACATTGGCAGACTGTTGCTTTGAGGGCATGCACGTACGCGTATGTATGTAAGTATGTACATATGTATTGGGATCCTGATTGTGAGTGCCGATGCTTTTTTTTTCTTCATTGAAGGCAGCTTGAGTCTGTGCCACATTGTTCCATCTATCGACTTCCAGTATACTCAAATCTTCATTTTCTTCAGTTGTTACATGAATTCTCCAGGCAGCCATAAATGCGTTTGCATTGACACACCAACAATTCAGCATACAGCAGACAAAAAAGGACATACTCTTCCTGTACATTCCAAATATATACTAGTCTTCAGTGCTATGCAAATCGACTATGTAAAGTAAGAGCAGATTTTCTATTTGGAAATATATATTCTTCATTCTTTGAGTGTCCGCAGGCATAGGAGCCATCAAACTCAGACCTGCGTTAGTCTATTGTCCGCATATTCGTATCTATATGAATTTGATACTCTCTTTTCCTTTCGTATGCCTTTCAATAATACTTCCTCTATTCCCTTCCGGTTCATTTCATTGCTTCTTTATTTTCGTAAGGAAATTAGCCAGGCGTATGAATGTCAATGATGACTGCGAACCACTTCTTTTACATAGACTGATTTTGATGGACACGTAGTTGGCGCAATTTGTATACCTTTCATGAATATGAAATGGTATTATTACTTTGGTCCGACACCAGAATAAGGAGAGATAGACCACAAAAATGTATTTCCAATTGCCTGTCCTGTTTTCCAGACAAACGACTGTAATTTAGTAAGCGGGTGTGTTTTTCTAATTTACTAATCATTTGTAGGAACCGGAAAAGTCGGAACAGTGAAAATAACCAAGATCGGCTCACCTGTAACTTCCATACATCTCATTTTTAAGATTTGAGGTTTTACTTTAAAACTCGTAAGCTATTTTCTAAATACTCAAACAAAATCTACTGAGAAACCCATCAAGATCAGTGCTTTATAAGTTATATTTTCCATACCACTGATTGTTCAGATATGAGTTTTTTACATATATAAAGGTTCTATTTGTGTATGTAGCGAAGCAAAAAGTATTTTTTTTTTGCTCCCAAATAACTAACTTAAAATGCAGTAATCGGTTGCAATAAAAATTGCTGATGCTGATGAAAGGTATAAAGCCTTCGGCACAGCTAAAGTCAGCACTATCCTTACTTTTTTTTTTAGTTTAAAAACTGACTGGTTTTCCATTAGTAAAATAGAACTAAAAGGAAAAAGATGAAGATTAAAGTTAAAGACTGTATGCTTGAGTATATTCAAGTATGTTTCTGTTGTAGAGCACTTAATTACTAAAAATTTAAAAAGTAAAAAAAATGCAATTTATAATATTTAATCAAAGGTGCTAAATACGAGTCATAAAATATCGTAAACACTAATTTAAGGAACCTCGGTGCAATTTTCGATGACTTCTAGTGATTAGTCCTTTGTTTACCGGCCGAGTTCAATGGCCCCGAACGAAATTTCCGTTACTCCGTTACTTTGCTTATTTTCATGTAAACTAACTTCTTTGATCTCGTTATTTATTTTTTCGAATAATTTGTATTGCTATTTTAAATCTGCTTGTGGGAACTACCAGCCCGGGTCCGTTGGACTCACATTATTATTTTCATAGGGGTCCAATGAACCCAAACGGTTGGTAATGCTAGTAGTCTCCGCGGTAGACAAAGGGTTAAAAGTCACATAATTAACTTTTCTAATTGTATTTTTTAGTGTTTTCTACCCGGCTAGCATCTTGCGAATTTCGGCAAAATTCCTCGCGTTTCCCTCTTCAACTCTTTATATCAATCTTACATAAGTCTCGTTTTACCTGGTGTCAGTGTGGCTCAATAAGCGCCTCCTATTTGCTCTGTGCTGGCGTGAAATTCCTGGAGTAGCAGTTGATTGTTGAGTCTCGCTGAAACCGGGGTACTTCCTATGCTGCACTGAGTCACTGATCCGAAACAATGTATTTTCATCTCTTCTATTTACACGTGTGTGAATGCCAATTAAAGCGATGTTGAAGAAGAATCATTCACGATAGACCCATTAGCACTGCACAACATTGCCGCTTTGAACGCCCTGCACCTGCAATTTTTTTTGGCTAAATACTTTCGATTTGTATATAGTTTGTTCATTAAACCAATGAGTACAAAATCAAAAAAATAATAATAATATAATAAAATATTTCATCCATTAAACAGATGGGGGAAGGTCGTGCCTTTGTCGGATCTTAGACTAACTATTTTTCAGGCAGAATTGGCTATTTCAAAGGCCTCATCACTGGTACAATGTAATACGATTCCTAGTCCTTATACCGACAGGCAGGCGGCTATTAAATCTTTGGTAAAGATGTCGCTGTCTTCAAAGTAGTGGCTCAAGCCGCTGATCTCCCCACGAGATGGCTGAGACATTAGCACACATGTTTTCTGGGTACCTGGCCATTGCGACATTCCGGGAAATTGTAAGGCTGATGAGCTCGCGCGTTATGGAAGAATATTACCTGATACAGATATAAGGAATACTCTCGACATCTCTATCCGATTATGCAAATTTCGACTGAATAAAAAACTCGTAGAAATTTTTAGTGAGAGATGGCGAATGGAACCGACTACGAAAACTCCCTGGCCAACCATAGACGCCCAACGTACCAACTCCCTACTAAATCTAAAGGGGGAAGATCGTACGCATATTGACTGGAGTTCTCACCGGACATTGTCTGATTGGATTACACGCAGCTAGACTGGGCGCGCCCTGCAATGACTACTGCAGATGCTGCATGGTTGACGATGATGAAGAAACCATTCCATATCTTCGTTGCCGTTGCCCGGCTCTATCGAAACGGAGACCTCGAAGCGACGAACGTTAGAAACTCATACGTATTTATTACTTTTTTGCTAAACTCAAGTCGTTCACAGGAGTATCACAAGGGACCGTGAGTCCAACTGAGTCCACTTAGGACTGCCGGCCACCTAACCTATGGCTATATTCTTAAAGTAAAAAATCAATCCAATCATTTTGCATAAATGAATCAAGAAGTAAGTTCACTTAAATGACCGCAAATGGCATTTTTGTGCGCCCAAGCGGCATAAAAAAATATATTTCTCGTTTTCTGAAAATTTTCTAATTTGTGCTCTTTATTATTAAAGCAATATATTAAAATTGTATGTTTTAACTCTGTAATAATATCCGAATATTCCATATAAGCATTTAATAAAACCTAATATTATAGAAAATTGTTTACACCAAAAAAAAAACTCTGCCATAAACAGACGAAGTTCGCTTTCAAAAACTTTACACACATCCGTTTCCGCCAGAAAATTTTGGCAAACGGAGCATATGAAACTGGTTTATTGCACATTTCTAACGTGTAAATACGAATTTTTTTGGACTTCTTATTTTTGGATGCAACTCTGCATGCTGTCTGCATGTTATTGCTGCTGCCAGTTCATTGCCGGCGTCTGTTTCCGTTGTTGTGGCCATGATGGAAAAAGGTTATTGGCTAATTCGCAGAAATAACTGTATACAACAACAAGAGCAGCAGCAGCTGAAATAGCAGCAAAAAAAAAAAAAAAACGGCACCAACAACACGAAAATAAAGGAACATTTGCTAGGTGTGCTTCGCGAGCTGTGAATAATTTGATTTTTACGGCACACACGTGCTCTGAATACAATTCGTACACAAAGCAATTGCATCGGGGACATTTGAAAAAAAAAACAATAAAAAATAAAAATCTACGAACAATAGAAACTGAAAATGTTTTCGCGCATAAAACACGCAAACACGTGGAAAACAGCTAGCGAAAATTCGGGGGATTTTCCAAAACCGGCGAGCTAAGCCAACGTAAAAAATTAGTAAATAAATATAAATTTAATGTTCAACTACTTTTTCGTGTTTTTTTTTTGTAATTTTTATATTAACTCGCAGCTTAGCAGTTGCAATTTAATAGAGAAACCACAAAATAGTGAACATTTCAGCACCAACTAGATAAATAAAACTTTGTCCTGCTGAAATGTTATTAACAAAATAAAAACAAATAATTAAAGTTTTAAAACTCTACTAAATTTCTATTCATAATTAAAATTTCACAAATTTTTGGTTTTTTTTTTTTTACATTTCAGGCACCAACACACGCCCAATGAGCACTTCACAGACGTCATCCATGTCGGGACCGCAGCCGCGTTTTCTCTCGCGTGGCCATACATATCGCGCCGTGGTGGGCGACACACTGCTACTGCCGTGTCAAGTTGAAAATTTGGGTAAGTTCACGCGAGTGTGACACATTCTGCAAAAAAAAATTTGTTGGTGACAACTTAATCCTTTGAGCTTAGCTGTTGCTGAAATTGGTATTAAATGGAGTAAAATGTGTGTAAAAATGTTTTTTTATTTATTTATTTTGCTTTTTTTTTAGTTAGTTTGCTTATTGAAAATATGAAATGGCTGCTTAATAGATAATTTGAAATGGCTGCTAAATAGATAATAAAAGCAGTGCGAATTATGTTCAAAGCATTTGCAAAAAGTGCGAATTTGTTGACAAATATACGCTTTTATGGATTTTGCTAATAAATTCAACATTTCGACGTGGCAAACAATTTCAATATCCGATATTTACGTGCTTTGAAAAAAAGTAAGTGCGCCAGGGCCACACTGGAGAAGTGAAACTTCTGTTAGAAAATCGATAAAAATTTCGACAAAAATGTCGATAACGAAATCGATAAATTATCGGTAACAAAATTGATACACAATTGATAACAAATTCGATAAAAATATCGATAATAAATTCGATAAAAATATCGATAATAAATTCGATAAAAAGATCGATAACAAAATCGGTATATTATCGATAACAAAGTCGATATATTATCGATAACAACATCGATAAAAATTTCGATAAAAATTTCGATAACAAAATCGATAAACAATTAATAACAAAAAAAAGCAATCGCTTATTTTTTATTCATAATTGACATTGACTTGTCCATTAGACCGTATGTAATAATGTTGTACAAAAATCCCAAATCGTATAAATTTAAACTTACCTCTCGCTATTTGTATGCAGCGTAATATATCTCTCAATTATCTAACTAGTTCCTGTCAGTCATACCAACCGTCCGTCAGTCAGTCCATTAGCTGTTGACAAGTATAAAATTATTTGCAAAAGCTTCACAGAAACTGACGGCAGAAAATTGATACACCTACCAGTTAAAAAATCGCATACACTTCCCCTTTCTCTGTCGATAAGTGTGTTTGCATTGGGAAGATATGAAAATATGTAGGTACGTAAGATATGCAAGTGTGTTGAAGTGTTTAGGCGAGACGGTAACATTCACTAATTGCCCATTACGGGGCACTTATCTAAAATATAGCATGCATATGACATACATACATATGTGTACGACTAAAAACATTAGAATGCAGGCTCGAGTGATGGACAGCCTTAGAAAATGTCAAATAAATGTGTGCTAACATGTCATGCGATGCAAGCGCATCTGAAACTGAGGTACATAAGTCCGCGTATGTATGTACGTGTGAGCGAGCACTTTTACTTGGGGAGTGTTTAAGTGTATGTGCGCGTTAGGGCAAAATGAGTGCAACAAAAATGGACAGCAGAGAAATGAGTTGAAGGAGTGGCAGCATTTGTCGAGAAAAATGCAGCAAAATGGAAGGTATACCTAATAAGGATGAGGTGGAGAAGAAGAAGCACACATAACTGAGTATTGTAAGATGTAATAAAAGTCAAATGTAGACGACGACAGTCTTACCAGTCTTTTAGTTAGAGCATCAGTGTAAGAGAACGAGCGATAAGTGCGGCAAGCGACTACCTTCATAATACTTAAACTATGTCTGTACGTATGTATGTACCTACATACATATGTGTGTGTACAGATGTACATACATATATGTAAGTGCATGTAGTTAGATGAGTGCTTGTCAAAGCGAGCTGAAGTTTGGCAGCTACAGTGCACTTTGTAGCATGCAACAGCTTCAGCAAGCAGATAATAGAGCGTATAAATTACAAATTGTGCAAGCAATTTAGTCGAGTCCATTTACGCTCACTAAAGGCTCACTTGCATCCGACACATGTATGTACATATATGAAGCAGCGTAATATTTTTTGCCACACCTACACATTCGTTAACATACATAAATTTTTCCCGCAATAAGTAACGTCATTAGATCATGGCTCATGTCACATGAAATGTTAAATTGTAAAATGCTAAATGCGGACAGACAGGACTACGTGGATAGTGTGTCTGGCAGCAACTACGTTACCTAAGTGCTGCTCGCCGTGCATGGCAGCCACTTTGGCTCCACTCTTTACATTATTGTCACACTGTACTGTACTCGTGTAATGTGTTCGGTGTCATTTAAGAGTAAATGTGTTGGAAGAGGTAAGCTTACTGCATTCGTGTGTATGCACATGTGCGTCATATCTAATGGGCGATATATGTATGTATATAGGAACTTGCAATAAATATACAAAATGCTTAAAAATATAAAGTGCTTTATTTTTATATTTATTTACTCAGTGTTCAGAGAAAACATTGCGATTGCATTTACTACAACATTGATTACAAGTGCTGGATATTTTTGAAGGACAAATGTGACTTTCTTTTTAGGAGAAGTTCAAGTGATTGAAGAGATGATCGTTGGTCTAATCCAGCCAAACCTCGTATGACTGCTAAGTGATAATTTGGCAGGCCTTTAAAAATAAATATTGAACTAGCGATGCTAAAAATGTGTTAGTTTCACATTTACATACATACAACTTTGGTGATAGTTTAGAAAAAATGGTTTTTCGAAAAAAACAAATACTATGTACATGTAATTTTAAAAACTTATTTTATTTTTTTTAGACTATTGTTTGGAAAAGGAAAATACATATTTTTTACTTTCATTAAATTTTGATAAACGTAATTTAATTTTTTAATTTTTTAATTTTTTAATTAAACATTCTTCATTTATTTTTTATCTAATTTAATTTTTAGGTTCTTATAATATTTACTATTTTTTTCTTTTTGATCTAACTTTCTTTTAATTTCTAAATTTCATTTAATTTTTAACTGACCTCACAAAAAGGAGAAGGTTATCAATTCGTCGGAATGTTTTTTTTGTATGTTACCGCATAACTTTGGACCACGTTAACCGATTTATGTAATTCGTTTATTTTTTTTAAGGAGAGGCGTTACCTCACAGTGGAAATTAACGATCGTCCTAAATTTTTATATGTGAATTGAAGTCGGTTTTGTTTTTGGCTTAAAAATTATTTGTTGAAAATATCTTCATTTACTTTTGCTTTATTTCCATTTAATCTTTTCTTATTTTAATTAATTTTTTTTTTATTTATTAGTTTTTGTTGTTTAAAAAGAAAAAAAAATATATTTTTAAATTTTATTTAATTTTAAAAAAAAACGTATTCCTAAAAGCCAAACATCATAATGCTAAGCCCTGCTCATTGTCAGATTTTTCAACTCGTATTTCGAAAGACAGTAAAGATTTTTCAAGACAGTTGGCAGAATTAAAAATTGTAACATATCCACACAACCGTATACAAAATAATCACTTTTGGGTGCTATCTAAGGAATGGCAATCAAAAACTGGTCCCACAAGTTGGAACCATACCATCTATACTCTAAAAATGAAATGTGTTCTGCTCCATTGCTGTGCATCAAACCAGTACCCAGTCAAATAGTATCATCTTGACAGAAGGTAATAAGCCCCAGCCGCAGGGGCGGTGTAGCATTAAGGGTGATACAAGGACTTTTAAATACCATTTCGAAATTTTATATATAAGCTATTGATACTTAACCTTATTATGGTTGACGAAAGGTGTATTGCTCGTGCTGCTTGGCTCATGAATGAGCTGAGTGTGGACAACCACTTCCCGCTTACAAATTTGAATTTAATTTTTAACGTATTCTGCTGAGTGGCAGTATAGATACTACGTCTAATGATTTCGTTTGTAAGAATACCTAAAGCGAAATTATACGAAAATAATTTCCCGTGCACAGTAAACTCCTAAATTTCTGCTTTCTCGAAGATTTTAGGACCAATTCTAAGTTTACTCTTTTAAACATTTCCAGTTTTCACTTTTCTCTGGCGCTTGAACTGAATTTGGAGATATATTTTGATCGAACATTTTATCCCGCTATATCACTCACTGTTCTTCTAAATATTTTCTGCACAAAAAATTTCAGCTCAATTTTTTCTGTATTTAACCTGATTTGCTTAATAGCCTAGCTGATTACTGCGCAATTGAAAATATTGGCGAAAATTTTTAGAGCAACACTGCTGTTTTTTATATACCAGATAAGAGTGTTAATATACACATAGTATATGCTAATATTTTACTCAAATGGAATTAGGTTTGTCGGTGCTATTGATACGAAAATGCATCATCGACAGGTGATAGTGTATTTCAGATGTTTTAATGCAATTTGATGTTACATGAATTGGTGAAGCGGAAATAACCACAAACAAAATCACTACCACCGCTGCAGGTGATATTAGAATACTGAATAGATTAACATATATGTGTACATGAACATAGTTTGACGCAAATTTGTGATGCTGCATACAATCCTACTGGTACTTAATGAACAACGACATTTTGCGATATGTTCGACCTAACGCCTCTGATTGACATTTAGAATGAAGTAAATATTTAGTTATTTGAAGCGCAGGAAAATTGATAAATTAACGCTGCAGCAGCAAACTTATATATTTATATAACATAAGTGAACACACTACCGTTGCAGCATTCAGAACTGCTCTCTGCCTTCAACTTCTGCAAGAAAGTCTAATAAAAGAAAGTTTTTTTTTTCAATTTAAAGCCTCATATTTATAGATTAACTATAAATATATGGTGTTTTGTTGTAAAAATGCTCATGTGTCATATTTTCTAAACTAGAGCTGACACAGAAATTTCGATCACGGATTTGGAATCTTCATTAAAAACCAGGCAGAAAATAATTTTGAACTTATTTGTATGCAATTACTCCACTGTGCTACTGTGGCTTCAGCAATATGTATCTATACTCNCTGCATACAATCCTACTGGTACTTAATGAACAACGACATTTTGCGATATGTTCGACCTAACGCCTCTGATTGACATTTAGAATGAAGTAAATATTTAGTTATTTGAAGCGCAGGAAAATTGATAAATTAACGCTGCAGCAGCAAACTTATATATTTATATAACATAAGTGAACACACTACCGTTGCAGCATTCAGAACTGCTCTCTGCCTTCAACTT